AGCTGGGCCATCCAGGACACAAACTCAGGTTTCTCTTTCTCTCTTCTTTCACAGGCATGCTGAGAGGATCCAGTGCATCCATTCACTTATTTACTCGCTTACCAAAGATTTATGGAGTCACTGTTGAGGCACTGTGCTGACAAGATAGACAAGTTCCCAGCCCTTATGGGGCTTATACCTGCTGAAGGCAGAAAAGGCAGTTCTAATAGAACGTGGGAAATGATGTGATCAGCAGCACATATGGGGCTTAAAAGGCAATCCAGGCACCCAGGCCCCACACTCAGTAGGTCTGGGATGGGACTGTAGGTGGTGGATTTTTAAGTTCTCAGGTGATTCTGATGCACACTAGGGTTAAGAACTGCTAAAGGGAGATAGAGCTGTGATATAACAAGAACAGCTCTCTTTTACTGAGTGTTCACTATGTACCAGGCATCATGCTTCGTTCTTCCACTGATTTCCCACAATGACCCTATGAAGTAGGTGTATTTATTTCAGAGATGAGGACTCTGAGCTTCAAAACACAAATTAGCCCAGCTGAGATTCATACCCAGGCCTGACTCACTCCAGGGCCTGAGTTCTTACCAGTAAGGTAGTGGCTGGCCCTCACAAAACCAAAGTGAAAAAATTCCAGAGATATAACAATGTAGCCTCTAGAGAAACAAAAGGGTTAACTGTCTTGTGGAGTCCTTGTTTAATGTACTTAAACAGATTCTTTCCAGAGAAGCCACATGGCTACTTGTGAGAGTCAAGAAATCCATTAGGCAGTTATTAATGACTAGCTCTAAACCCTTCCAGGGGACAGAGCCAAAAAATGCTTTTAATACCTTCTTTTCTGAGATGAGGGCAGCGTGGCCTCCCTCAGCCACCAGTTCTGCACACAGAATGATGGTGTGGTCCTCCAAAACCCAGCAGAGCCTATTATATCCCCAGACTGTGACTCCCCAGAAACACTGCAAACCACACCCTCATCAAACACAAGGAGGCCGTTTCACTGTCCTTGCTACTTATGATCCTTCTAACCTCCCCTCTGTGAGGCAATTCTGATGGCAGTGGCACCAGCCCAGTTAAGACTCTGCTCCCTGTAGATGGTAGAACACTGTCCCTCACCGGAGCCCCAAGTGATATCTGATCTCACTAGTCATCTGACACTGCACCCCGAAAACCTCAGCTGTTCGAAAGGTCACTTCCCTATTCCTGGCTTGGCCTGGTCTCTGACTGAGCTGTGCAACTGTCACTGTCACCAGCTCTGCCCCTGGCCTCAAGGAGCCAGTCTTCTGTCACACAGCCATCCTGGGCATGTCCTACTCCAACCACTTGGCCTGATGCCTAGGCATGCCCAAAGCAGCCACAGATCATCCCTGTCTCCGGGCAGAAGAGGAGTGGGTTGGTGTAGGGCGGTTCTCTCTGTCTCTAAGAACATGCTGTTCCTGTTCCCCAAGAGATAGGCCTTCTGTTTTCTCCTGGGAGCTGAGAACCCCTCTTCTTTCTTCTTTGCCTAAAGAGGAAGCACTGATATGCTTTGATTCATCCATTCAGCATTCGTCCATAGCTCATACCCCTGCTGAGCGTGCGTCCCCATGCTAGCTCTACAAAGAATGAAATGAACTGCCTCTGCCCTTGCAAACCCAGGAAGAAGCTGATGTTCTTGGTCATAGGAGGCTAGGAGTGGGGCTGTATGGGGTCAAGGGGGATCACAGGACTGGAAGCAGGGAGACCTGGCTCCAGGCTCCATTCCTTAGTTGTGTTCTTTTGGGCAAATCGCTCCCCTTTCTGAGCCTTTATTTCCTCTTTTGTAAAGAGGCCCACTACTCAGGGTTCTGATAATTAAAAGCAATAAAACTTTTTTAATTAAAATTTTTAATATGAAAATAATCATTTTCAAGAGGAAACCTAAAAAGATTGTTTTAATCATTCATGAATACAGTCTGTGCCTTGCACAGAGTGGGTGCTCAAAAATGTTTGTTGACTGGCTGGCTGAGAAAATGAATGATAAATGAGATCCTGAAGTTAGTCTGCATGCCGAAGAAGAATTCAAACAACCTAACGGTATTTTCATGATGGAAATAAAACTGAAAATTGAAAAGAAAATCTCCATGTCTATTAACTCTGAATTGCATAATGGTAGAGGCCAAGAGGATATAATAGCCCCATCTTTGAGCTGGACATTGGAGCACCCAAAGTCTAGTGCGGGACCCAGGTCTCTGGCCCTCAGGCTCTTCATCTATTAAAATGGGAGGAAGGAGAGAACCCCCTGAATAATTTCTTCCAGCTCCTGAACTTGGTTCAGAACATTTCCTTATTGCTGATTTCTCAACAGCACAGGGAATTGCTTTGTTCCCAAAGCAATGGTATTCTCTGTTCCACTGGGAAAATGTGACTTCCAGGCCTCTCTGTTCTTCTTCCCTGAGAGGGAAGCAGCTTTAGGCCTTCTCCTGCCCATCTCCCTTACTCCTCTCTCTTCTCTCTTAGGATTGGGCCCCTCGCTACCCCCACTGCTGCCCACTGTGCGATTGTGCCTGTGCGTGCCAACTTCCTGACTGCCAGAGCCTCAACTGCCTCTGCTTTGAGATCAAGCTTCGATGAGGACCCAGGGTCCCTGCCCTTTGGGAAGTGGCCAGCCCCCAGGGCCCACGTGCCCTCCTTCCTAGGGGGCCTCAGGACACCTTTCTCCAGGCCACTGGAACTACAAATGGCCGGCTCAGCTCACTGGCCTGTGAACCAGCAGTTGAGGGCCTGGCTCCCTGCAGGGCAGGACTCAGAGTGCCCTCGGCCAGCCAGACTGCAGCCCCTTCCAAGGGCCAAAAGAGGGAAGGGCTAGTGCTCTGGCAGGTACCCCTGCCCTCCTCTTTCCCTCTCCCAATAAACTGTATATATTTGAAGGTGAGCATGGGGGACACTGCCTACCACAGACAACATTATGGGAGAAACTTGGGCCTGGATTATCAGGATATTGGTGTGCCCCAGCCACCTCCCTGCCCATGGACTCTTGGTTATTTTTGGGGGTGAGTGTAGTGCCTGCCTTCTCTCTCCTTCTAAAGAAATGGGCTCCAGAGAATCACAACCGCCATCAAGGTCCAGTCAGGGAAGGAGGGGCTCATCGCAGGGGCCACCAGGAGGGAGGCAAGGAGAACCACACCATCTGAGTGCCCTTACCCTTCCTCCCCTCTCCACAGATCCCTGCCCAAAGATTTATTTCCCTTGACAACCAAGTGCCTCAGTCTGGATTTCCAAGGAAGAAATTTCCTCTGAAGTGCTGGTGAGTGGGCAGAGCCCTTCTCCCTTCACTGCCCCCCCTCCCCCCATAGGGCATGTCTGCGGCTTCCTCCTCCGTCCACCTCACCCTGCTCCCACTTTGGGCCCTATGCTGGCTTGAATGTCAGGGGCTTCAGGTTTCCCTAAATATAGGTCCCTGCCAGCGGATCCGTGGCGGGAAAAGGGCAAGGGTCACCGGAGAAGGTCAGGATGTTGGTGGGGGGAGCAGGAGCGGCTTTATAACCCAGCCCCAGTGCAGCTGGCGCACGCGCTGCCGACCAGGCTCTGCCGGCTCCTTCAGCCTCCTCTCAGGTGGGCCGCCGGCTGGATGGAGCCTGCGGTGGGGTCGGGCCGAGGGGATCTGGGTGGGGAGGGGAGGCCTGGCCGGAGGGAATGGGAAACTCGGGAATTATGTGGGAGTATCTAAGAGCTCCACTGCTAACCAAAACCCCGGCAGTTGGGATCCACCAGCCGCTCCTTGGAAACCCTTTGGGGCAGTTCTGCTCTGTCCGATAGGGTCATTAGGAGGCGGAATCGACTGGATGGCAATGGGTTTGGTTTTTGGTTGTTTTATCAACTCGGGTATGGATTTTATCTTGGAGAGGGAAGTCAGGTGTTTCACATTCCCAAGACTTGTTTGGTCCGAGCCACAGCCGATCAGTTTCCGCGTGGTGTTTTTCCGTGGTTGCCGGGGCTCAGGCCTGTACACGCCGGCTTTGGGCGGAGAGCGCGTGCGCGGGCACGGCTGCCTTTCCCAGACGCGCCGCCTCCGCCCGGGCTTGCCCGAGCCGTCCTTTCCCGCTTCCTGTGCGTCCACTCTCCGCCCTCTCCTCCGCCTTTCTTACGCATGGGCAGGTGACACGGGGAAGGGGCGGCCCCGGGCCCTGCGCCGAGAGCCCGCAGTATATACGCCCGACCTCTCGATTCTGTTACGACGAGACACGCGCTGCCTAAACACAGGCTGGAAGCTAGCGCTGCCTGGGCCGCGGGCTGGCCCGGGTGGGGAAGCTGAGCCTTCATCTTTCCTGGCACTTCCATGCGCTTACCCCCACCCCTCCCCCATCTTCTCCGGTGCCAAAAATCAGGCTGAGTCACGGCGGCCCAGAGCGCGCCAGGCGAGGGGAGAAAAAGGGGAGGACCCTGGCGACCCGCAGGATGTGGTCCGAGTCACATCCGAGGAGGGAGGCAGGGGAGGGATCATATTCTCGTCGCCGTGTTCCCCCCTTCCCCAGCCCCGCCTCCGGGCTTCGCTTTTTCGGGGCGGCCTCTGCCAGAGTTACTCGCCTGCCGTAGGACGCTGGGGCGCCTCCCAGCCCCCTGCAAAGGAAAAAACCCGGCGGATAGTGGCGCAGTGCCTTTAAAGGGCCTGGTACCGCCTCCCTGCTACCCGCCCCCTCCGGAATTGAATAGGCTGCATTCCTTTTGGAACGCGCCGCCGAACCCAGGTGTTGGTGACGAACGCTGTGTTCGCTCTCGCAGTCCACCCGCCGCTCTCCGCCGCTGCAGCCCTCAAGTCCACCCCTCTTCTGTGCTAGGTGAGCGCCCGTGGCCACGTGCGAGGGTCAGATCAGGGACGGTGGAGAAGGGTCCAGGGGGCAGTGGCGGGGGCGGGCGTCGGTTCGGAGCCCTCCCACCGCAGTATTTCCCCCCGCCCGGACACACACACACTCCTGCTCCCAGCCCAGACCCCCCCAATCCTCGCCAACTAAAGTTTCCTCGGTTTGCTGCGCAATGCAGTGACTCCGCGCGCTGAGTGATGGCGGCGGGAGGAAGCAGGACGAGGTAGAAGACCATCATCCCCCTCTCTTGCACGGATTATGTCCTGTTTGCCTCTGTAGAGATCCCAACAGACAGCGAGGGTTGGGGGCCACCCTATATGCCACCTCAGGGCTCCCGCAAGCGGGAGGTCTTTACCTTCCTGGGAGAAGGGGCGCCCCTGGCCGTGAGGGGAGACCCCTTGGCTGAGCCTGCTTACCCGTTAATACTTTGCTTGTCTTTCTTTATCGGGTGACCTTGATTCTGAGCCTGGAACAGCCGCAGCCGTGCGAGCAGACAAGAATATTTTTCCGGGGAAAGGGTGGGGCGCTTGCCTCTCCTTCACATTCTTTTCCTGTATGAGCAGTGAGAACGACAGACCTTACCCTTTTCTCCACTTGGGGCCTACTAGCTCTGCTGCCCTTTCCTGGGCCCCTCATTGCCCTTCTACTTTTTTCTTAACACTTTCCCCCTAATCTGGAGGGGGGTGAGGCTTGACCTTGGAATGTCCTTGAGGCATCGGGGCCTGGGCCAGCCCTGAGAGTTAGGGTGGATTGGAAGGAACACCCCTGTGGCAGTCAGAAGGTCTGGGTTCTAATTTCAGATCTGGCCGTTGTGTGGCTTTGAGCACACAGACCTTTCTCTACTCTGTACCCTTTTGGATGAGGGAGTTGGGCTCTCTGCCCTGTATGTGACCTTTTAATTCTAAAATACCCCGGTTCGGTTTTGCTTCTAGGCAAGGTGACCCCATGGCAAGGCGCAAGCCAGAAGGGTCCAGCTTCTACATGACCCACCTGTCATTGGCTCTGGCGTTTTCCTTTACCCCAGACGCCAGATCACAGCCCCACCCTCAGCTGGGCAACACCCAGCAACACACAGAGTTAGGAAAGGTACAGGAGGCAGGCCTAGTATAGGGAAGCTGGGTATAGGGGAGAGCTGGGGACAGGAACTGGCTCAGATCCTGCCGGGTGTGGGGCAGGGAAGGTAGGGAACATTTGCCCTGACCTCCAGGCAAGGGACCCTGCTGGCTGGGAGACCATGGGAAGGCCCAGCTAACCAGTCCTCCCCCACCTACCTCCTCTACCCAGGAACCTGCCACCACCAACACCATGTCCCACCAACACCCAGCACTGACCCCGGAGCAGAAGAAGGAGCTTTTTGAAATCGCTCATCGCATTGTGGCTCCGGGCAAGGGCATCCTGGCTGCAGATGAGTCCACTGGTGCGGGCAGAAGACAAAGCTGGGGAGGAGGACCCAGGGTCGGGGTGGCAGGCTGATCCCTTATTCCCCGTTGACACTCCCTTCCAGGAAGCATTGCCAAGCGGCTGCAGTCCATTGGAACTGAGAACACCGAGGAGAACCGGCGATTCTACCGCCAGCTGCTGCTGACTGCTGACGACCGCGTGAACCCCTGCATTGGGGGTGTCATCCTCTTCCATGAGACACTCTACCAGAAGGCGGATGATGGGCGTCCATTCCCCCAAGTTATCAAATCCAAGGGCGGTGTTGTGGGCATCAAGGTGAGGGGGCTGGGCCTTAGGATGTGAGATTTGGGATGGATCTGGGGGAAAGTAATCCAGAGTAATGGGGTAGGGCGGGGGGTGAACATTGACATAGGAGCTCAGCGACTTAGGTGGAGTCTGCCTAGATCTCTTTTGAAGAATGTGTAAGAAAAGCTGGAGACAGGTTACCTACTTGGCATCGTTAAGCCTCATAATTCTAAGAGGGAGGTATTGTTCCCTTTTTACCGATGAGAAACCAGAGGCTCAGGGAAGTCCAAGTGTTTTGCTCACACAGTAAGTGGTAGACCCTAAGGCTCCTTATACCCAATTCGCTTAACATTCTGTCAAATAATATCCCCACATACCCTGCTTCATAGGATCATGTATTGCAACTAAGTGAAAACATTTGCAAACTGTGAGCTGCTACTTGAGACATTAAGTAAGGTTGGGGACAGACTGGGGTCACGGAGGGTAAAAGGGTACTAGAGATCATTTCCTCTGTCCCCCCACCCAACAGGTTGACAAGGGTGTGGTACCCCTGGCAGGAACAAATGGCGAGACCACCACCCAAGGTGAGAACTGTTTGGCTCCCCACCATACTAACCCAATCTGCCTGGGCTGGTACCCCTCTCGGGTGCTGAAGGTGAGTAAGAGCCCCATGCTTCCCTCCCCTACCATTCTCTGACTCTGCTGTCTCCTCTTCAGGGCTGGATGGGCTGTCTGAGCGCTGTGCCCAGTATAAGAAGGACGGAGCTGACTTTGCCAAATGGCGCTGTGTGCTGAAAATTGGGGAACATACCCCCTCAGCCCTCGCCATCATGGAAAATGCCAACGTGCTGGCCCGTTATGCCAGCATCTGCCAGCAGGTGGGTATGCAGGTCCCCAACAGGCCTCCTCCCACCTTATTTAGTTCCAGAGTGCCAGCTAGCCTGCCACCCATATGCCAGCATGCCTGCCTCCCTAATGGCAGCCGTTCCTGATACTTATTAGGCACAAATTGGGCACCAGGCATGGCCTTGCTGAGGACACACTCAAAAGGCTTCTCCCGAGGCCAGAGGGGGCAGAGTAGGGATTGCGAGGGTGGATCTGAAGGAGATTCCTATCTCCTGCAGTCCGCCAGGGCTTTGAGGCCATGAGTCCCTGTGGTCTTGGAGATAAGATCTTGGCCGATGACTGTGGAGCTATAGGTGGGGCTCCGGGTTAGGAGGCCTCACAGCCACCCTGTCCCTCATCTGTCTGCAGAATGGTATCGTGCCCATTGTGGAGCCTGAGATCCTCCCTGATGGGGACCATGACCTGAAGCACTGTCAGGTTGTAACTGAGAAGGTAGGTTGCCTGCCTGCCTGGGCAGTGTGGTGGGCTGGGGACCCTGGGTCTCATCCCTGTACCCCACCCCACCCCACTTTGGTCCTTCCCTGCTCTAGGTGCTGGCTGCCGTCTACAAGGCTCTGAGTGACCACCACGTCTACCTGGAAGGCACCTTGCTGAAGCCCAATATGGTAACTCCAGGCCACGCCTGCACGCAAAAGTTTTCTCACGAGGAGATTGCCATGGCAACTGTCACAGCATTGCGCCGCACAGTGCCCCCCGCTGTTACTGGTGAGGCCTGCACCCTCATCTTGGCCACTGGGAGGTGGATGAATTGTACCTGCAATCCTTACACGCCCATTTGGTCTGATTTCCAGAGCAGCTTCTAGGGGTTCCTACCAAGTCCCCTGGGTGTCTTGACTACAACCCCCCTTCCCCATCTCGCTTGTTCTGCAGGAATCACCTTCCTCTCTGGAGGCCAGAGTGAGGAGGAGGCATCCATCAACCTCAACGCCATCAACAAGTGCCCCCTGTTGAAGCCATGGGCCCTGACCTTCTCCTATGGCCGAGCCCTGCAGGCCTCTGCCCTGAAGGCCTGGGGTGGGAAAAAGGAGAACCTGAAGGCTGCCCAGGAGGAGTATGTCAAGCGAGCCCTGGTAAGGATGTGGGGCAGGAGGTGGGTAGGGTGCCTGGGCATATGGGATTCTGAGGAGAACTCTCCTCACTCTGGCTCCTCTCCCCTCTTAGGCCAACAGCCTCGCCTGCCAAGGAAAGTACACCCCAAGCGGTCAGGCTGGGGCCGCAGCCAGCCAATCCCTCTTCATCTCTAACCATGCCTACTAAGTGGAGGTGTTCTAAGGCTGGCCCCTCAACACTCCAGGCTCCTGCCCTCTCCCATACTCACTCTGGAGGGGAGGGCATCATCCGAGGCTCCAGGCCACTCTTTCCTGTCACTCTTGCCACCCTCGTGACATTGGTGCGTGGTGTTGTTTGTAAATGCTAACTCCATCACCCTTTCTAGCCTACTGCCAATAAACAACTATTGAAGGGGGAGTCTGTTGTCTGTGTCTGTCGTGTGGGGCAAGGGAGGGCCTGGGAAGGTGGCAGAGCCCAGAAGAAAGAACCCTTGTTTTATGTTCTTCCTGGGCAGGAGAAGAGTGAAGAGGGTGGGGAAGGACCTTCCTGCTCTGTTTTATATTTACCCAGGGCTTTGAGGAAGGTGGAGAGCTTGTGAAATTTTCTTTGAACCACTACTAGTGCTCCGCCTCTTCTACCAGCAGCATCTGATAGGGCTCACGGTTGGGGAGTGCATGTACACTGTTTAAGTCTTAGGAGGCCGCAGGTGCAGCCTCATTTTTAGGCCCAGAGCTCACGGGTGTGGAAGCTCTGTGACAGAAACGGCTACTGATAAGAGTTGACATTTCCTGAGTGCTATGAGCCAGGCAATGTAGTAAGTGCTCTGTATGAACTAGTACTATTATTCTCAATTTATGTTTAGGGCTGTCTTGCCCAAGATTGTACTGTTTCTTGGTAGAAACAGGATTGTTAATTCATATCCCCTTAATCTACACTATTGAGCGCCTCTGTTTCCCCATCTTAACAGGAAATGGGATTAGAATCAGCTTTTTTAGGTTTTGGGGCTGTGGAACCCCTTGAGGAATTTAGAATCCTCTCCAACACGCTCAACAACGCAGATATACACAGATGCACAATTGTGGAGCTCAGGTTCCAGGTTAAGAAGTGAGCCTCTGTAGCTGCTTGCAGTCCATGAAGCCAGTGAGAGTCCTGTGCCATGCCTGGAACTCTTCCTCAATAACAGCCTGGGGTGTAGCAGTAACACCACCAGGTGTTTTCAGCTGCTGAAGATCCTAGCTACAACCAGGGACCTAGTCTTGCTGCCACTTTGCAAGTTCCCTGCAACGTCCCTCACCCCTAGCCTTTCCTGGTGAGGGCCTTTTCCTGTCTGAGCTCCTCTCTCATGAAAAAAAATTTTGACCTTTCTCATCTCTACAAAGAATCCCTGCAATAATCCTCATAGAACTGACTTACCTAGAATCTCCTAGAGGAGTTTAAAAACTTGGACCTTATCTCTGCACATTTGCATCTGTTGCCTACATCCTCAAACCACTTTCCCCTAGTGGCCGTCCAGACTTTGGCCTCACTTCTGTACCTAGCCTCTTTCAATTCTCTGGGGGGACATCTGAAGTAAAACATGAAAATTGAGGATCAGCAGAAGATAATGAAAAGGACATTCTAAAAGGCTCAGAAGGCTAAAAAAGTCATTTTGCTTAAAGACCAATAGCTTTCTGTACCTGCAGCAAGATAGAATAGAGAAGCAAAGAACTTAACAAATGTCAGTTTAGGGAGTTCGGGATATCTTAGTTTTATAATGACAGACGGTTCCAGAAGCGTAAGTGATAGGAGGAATTAGAATTAAGAACACGGCTTTCCTGGATTCAAATTCAACCTTGATTCAAATCTCAAATTCTTAACTATGCAACCATGAACAAGTTACTTAAATCTCTCTGAGCCAGTGCCTTCCTCTTTAAAGCAAGCAATAGGAAACAATTGAGGGGTGTCCAGGGGACCATTTTGGAATCAGGTCATGCTGCCTGAGGCATAGGCTTGGTGTGAGAAAGGTAGGCTCTAACTTTGGAGGGCCTCCATGGCAAAGATTTTCCTGAAGAGAGAGACTTGGTCTGGGATTCTTTCATCCATTGAACAAATACTTACGTAAACCTACTACATGCCAGGCATTACTCTAAGCACGGGGGTGCAATGGTGAACTACAGTCCCATCCCTCAAGGATTGTAGTGGGGGAGGCAGACTAAAACAGGTCAAAATGAAGTTACAAGTCCAGCTTCAGTGTCCCTAACTGAAACCGGAGGGCACTATATTAGGGTCTCCAACGGCCACCTCAGCGCCAGCCAGCGAAGCCCACAATAACTTCCGCCCGCAGGTTGCCAACATCCGGTTCTTTCAACTCATTTCTATTCTTAGCTGCAGAGGTACGGTTAAGGGCGCGGCCGGGGAGTAGGGGCGTGTGTATGACGCCACATCCGGCGCGCGGCGGAACTGGCTTCCCCTTGCTTCCGCGGCGGGGCCGGACGTAGAAGCGGTGGTGGCGGCGGCCCAAAGCGGAGGGAAGGAGGGAGTCGGGAGCCTGAGAGGCGGAACCGGAGTCGCGGCGGCGGTAATAGTCAGAGACCCCTCTAGGCCACCGTCCCTAGCGCGGGACCCGCGGGGTTCGACGGGAGTTAGCGGGGGTGCGGTCAGGGCCGTGGGACGCTGGGGGTCCCGGGGCCGATGTAAGGGGAGGCGGGGATGGGGGGGCGGGCCAGCCTCAGAACCGTGCTGCCCCCCTGCGCCCCGCACTGACATTCTGATCCGCGGGCTCGTCTTCGCCTTTCCCAGGAGACCCCTGTGCGGTACGGAGGGGGCGGTGGCCCCGGCTCTGACCCGCGCCGGGGGGTGGGCCATGGCGGAGATCAGCGACCTGGACCGGCAGATAGAGCAGCTGCGGCGCTGCGAGCTCATCAAAGAGAGTGAAGTCAAAGCCCTGTGCGCCAAGGCCAGGTGAGTCCGGTTGCCACCCAGGGATTCTGGCCTGGGGCAAACGCAGCTGAAAACTTCGGGCCTGCCCCATCCTGGAAGTTTCCCAGAGAGGAGCAGAATAGCTCTCTCGTTCCTCCAGAAGCTACCAGCCTGTTGGGAGAGACAGACCTGGATAAACTATCAGATAATATTTTTTCAGTGGAGTAAAAGGGACTTCTAGAAATTACTTAGGCAGTTCAGAGAAACAAGCCCATCTATCTGGGGTAACAGAGCAGGCTTCTTGGAGGAGCTGACCTTTAGGGCAGATCTTGAAGAATAAGGAAAGGAAGGGGGGGGGTGACAAAGACAAAGGTTTGAGGCAGGAAAGCTACAGACTGTGTCTGACAAAATTGTTTTAATTCTAACAGCAACCCTTAAAAGGAGGTAAAATTGTCCGCATTTTACAGGTGAGGAATCTCATGTTCTGAATTACCAGCAAGTAAGGGCTGTAGTCTGAAGCCAGTTCTCCATGTCCTGTTCCATAATGCAAGAAGGTGGAGTTGAACTCAATTTGTGTGCAGTGTGGGAGCCTAAGAAGTAGCAAATAAGCCAACATAAATTAAGCATTGAGTTGAGGGAGGCCAAGCTCAGTGTTTTACGGCAAGTACGATGATACCGTTATTAAGAGCACGGGCTTCAGAATCTGGTGGCTCTAGGTTTGAATATGATCTCTGCCATTTATTAGCTGTGTTTGTAGTGGTGTGTGCTCTGAAACTCAGTTTCTTCATCTGTCAAGTGGGAATAGTAGTACTGAATAAGACGATTGTGAAGATTCAGTGAGCTGGTGCCTGGAACGAGCTGAGCATAGTGCTTTGTACAAATAAGCGTTCAGAAATTGTTAGGTGTTAATACTATGTTGGAAAAGGGCAACGTTGACAGGGACTGAAGTCATCAAAGAAAGCTTTTAAGAGACTGTAGGTCTTGAAAGGTTAAGGTGATTTGTATAGCTGATGGGAACAGGACCATGAGGAAGGGCATTCTAAGCAGGATGGGAGTCAGAGTGAAGGCTCTGACATGGGTGGGTACTGTGAGGAGACTAATTACCTGCCTCCTCTGAGGAACTGGTTGACTGACTGCCATCAGGCTGGAGAACTGTGGGAGAAGCCGGCCGAATTACTCTACATTTATTCAACAACCAACCCCATCGCCGTCGAGTCGATTCTAACTCATATCGACCCTATAGAACAAACTAGAACTGCCCAATGGGGTTTCCAACGGTGTAATCGTTATGGAAGCAGACTGCCATATCTTTCTCCCAGAGAGCGGCTGGTGAGTTCAAACCACCAACCTCTTGGTTAGTAGCCAAGCACTTTACCACTGCACCACCAAGGCTCCTTTATTGAACAACAGGCCCACTAATAGTCTGGTTCTATACTGGCAAGAAACGTAAGTCCATTTCCTCCCCACAGCAGCGTGGGAGGTTGGAATTACTTGCTCCCTTTTGCCAAAGAGAAGGCCATCATTCCTAGGAGCCAGATGACCTGACTGAGGTGACCCAGTGAGGAAGTGGCTTGGTTCTGACCCTGTGGCTGTCAGGCTCTTTGCTTGGCTCTGCCCACACAAACAGACCTCTTGCAGCCAGACAGGTCCTGCATGGGGATGGTGAACACCCTTTTTAAGTGACTGTGGCTGCTCTGTTTTTTGCAAGTTGAAGGAAATCGCTCTGACCAGACCAGCCCAAAGCTGCTTTCAGCTGTCCTGACTGGCATTTTCAGGAACTTCAACCAATTGCTGCCTGTCACTATTCTCTTTAAGCTGGATCAGTGTGGTGATAGCTAATGCTTGAATAGCATGCTGGAGTTTTCAGAGTAATGGAGAAGTTGGGCATTTATTCTGTATTGCTTCTTGCAGCCGTCCTATGGAATAGGCAGGGCAGGGATAGTATTTACTCCACAGAAGAGGAAACTAGCCTCAGAGAAGATAAATGTATTACCTAAGATTTTAGAGCTAGGGGGAGAGTGCGTTGGTTTTGCATCCATGTCTTTGTTCTCCACGCCCATTGATGGGCAAGTAGAGGCATTTAGACTTCGAAGTGAGCTGCGAAAGGCTGCAGGGAGCTATGGACTGATGGCCGGGAGGGTCCTGCCCAGTTGGAATGGAAAGGAGGTAGGAGGTACTAGGCTGAGACCTGAGTCGGCCACCATTGTCCCAGGCCCAGTCTGAAGGAGGACCAACGCTTAGCACCTGCCCATGGCCTTCTGGGGACCCAGCAGGGGCCCAGGCTGAGGCAGGTGGTGCCCTGAGCTTCAGCTTGCTCAGAGTGTATGTAGATTCCTACCCTAGGAGCCACAGAGGTCTACAATGTTTGCTGAAATTGCTCCTATTAAAAAATGAGCATATTAAAAAGGGCAGAAGCTTTTGAGTCAGGCAGTCTTCATTAGGAATCCTAGGTTTGCCACTGCTGTAAGCAGTGGGACCATGGTCAAGTGACTTCACCTCTCTGAGCCTCAAATGAGATTCTCCAGGGACAGGGCCTGACACACTGGTAGGCACTTAATGAAGGTAGTATTAGTTGTGGAAGTAAAGCGGGCAGGTGTGAGCCACAAGAGGGCTGGCGATGTGCTGCAAGTGACAGAGCTGAGCTCGGAACCTGCGCCTTGTTCCCACTGGGGCCCCACTGGCACCGAGGAGGGGTTTTACGGAGAGCGAGGGCCCTGTATGTTATGTCACTGGGTTTCAGGTTTTGACCTGGGGTCTGGAAGGGGCTGACAGGAATTCTCAGGAAATTGGACCTCCTGAGTTCCCATTCAGTCACTCTCCAGCTTTGTGACCTTGACTCTGCCACTCTTTTCTCTAAGTATTGGTTTCTTTATTCGTCAGATAAAGATGTAAAGCACCTTCTCTAGTCTGTTGGAACAGTCATTATAAACAGTTGATGTGGAAGCATGTTCAACACAAGATGCAGTACATGTGGGAGAGCCCAGTTTTTGTTACGGCCTCTCTGACCACCGCCAGTGCCTCCCCATTCCTAGAAAGTCAGGGCAAACCTCCCTTGTTCTGCCTTTGTCATATAGAGCACCCTGTGGGACGTGAGTCCTCCCATTCCGTGAGCTCAGGGAGCTCACAGTCTAGTGGGAGGAGACCTGGTGGCAAGAGTGAGGGCTGGGCAAGTACCTGGATCCCTCACATCAGGATAGCTTGATAAAAGAGTTGGACCCTGGAGCCAGGCTGCCCAGGTTCCCATCCCACCTGTATGACCCCGGCCACACCAGTAGCCTCCCGGGCTTCAGTTGCTTCGTCTGTGCAGTGGGAATCATCGTAGTACCTGCCTTTGAGGGTGGTGGTTCAATTGCATGAGGTCATCCATGCAAAACTCTTAACACAGGCTTGGCACATGGTATGAGTGCAAATGTTCAGCACTGCTGTTATCAGGGACAAAATTTGGAAATGTGATACTAAAGTTGGATGTCTGTAATTGACAAAACCATTTTACCTTGTGCTCACTGAAGTAGAAGTAGACTGTACTACAAAATGAAAAGGCACTGCTTTTGAGTCAGTTCTGACTCACAGTGTCCCCGTAGCACAGAGGAGAGCTGCCGCCTAGGATTTCCAAGGCTGTAAACCTTTACGGAAGCAGACTGCCACATCTTTTTCTTGTGGAGAGGCTGGTAGGTTGGAACCTTTCGGTTAGCAGCCAAGCATTTTAACCACTGTGCCACCAGGGCTCCTCGACTGTACTATAAGGAGAAGTAAAAGAGTAAAGTCCTCACCGCCTCTAAGTAGATATTGAAAAAGTATGACGAGCACATCACTCGGAAGGTGCATCTGACGATTGGCCTGCCAGGGCACCACCCTGTGTCTTTGGGTATTCTGGGAGAAGGGCCCTACGAGTAGTGGAGAGTGACTATAAGATCTCAGCAAAGGGCACAGTCTCAGGTACGACTCCAGGCTGAGGGAACAGCTTCAGCAGAGTGCTGTGTGTGGAGAGGATAAGGAGACCTGTTTTCTGGGAGTGAGTGCTGGATGTGAGAAAGGGAGCCAAGGCTGGGAAGGTCACAGCAAGGGTTTTGAATGCTGGAATAGGAGCCTGGATTTTGTTGTTTTGGTAGCAGGGTGCCATGGAAGGGTGTGCAGTGGGGGGGCCAGGTCAGCCTGCCCTGGGGAAATTGCAGACCTCACTCCTGCCCCTTAGAGGTTCAAGGACCACCTCATATCCTCCCCTCCCTTCAAAAAAAAGCTCAGGAATTGGGCTGGGCTGGCCTGGCTGAGGTGACCCTGGTCTTCTCCTGTCTCCAGAGAGATCTTAGTGGAGGAGAGCAACGTGCAGAGGGTGGACTCGCCAGTCACAGTGAGTACCCCTGTCCCTCCAGGGCACATGGGCATTCCCCTTAGCTCTGCAGGCTCCCTAGGTCTATCTCATTCCTGGGGACCAAGAAAGCCGCATCCTTCTTCAAGGGAGTCCTGCTGTAAGAAGTGGATGTTATGGGAAGGGTCTTTTATTTGGTGGGGCTACTCTTCACCAGAACAGAAGGACTTCTAATTTGGTGAATGGTTCTATTCCATGTGTTTCTCTGGCCCTGTGTTAGTACCTTCATTCTGTGTACCTTGAGGGGAGTGGGAGGAAGAGGGGTCCAGGTCCTCCAAGAGCTGGAAGTCTAGCTGGAGAGACGTGTCTCTAGTTCTTGCCCATAGAACCATTAGCACTCGGTGTGGGACGGTGGGTGATTCTAGACCAGGCCAATTTGGGGTGGGAGAGTAGACTTTTGTCCCTGAGAAGTAGAGGCTTAGTGAAGTGTCTTAGTTATCTAGTGCTGCTACAACAAATACTACAATGGGTGGTTTTAATAAACAGATACTTATTTTCTCACAGTTTAGGAGGCTAGAAGTCTGAATTCAGAGCGCCGGCTATAGGGGAAGGCTTTCTTTCTCTTTGAGCTCTAGGGAAAGGTTCTTGTCTCTCTTCAGCTTCTGTTTCTCAGTTCCTTGGTGATCTTCATGTGGTGTGTGGTATCTCTCTTCCGCCATCTCTGCTTCCTTAATTCTTACTTAATCTGCTCTTTTGTATCTCAAAAGAGATTGATTTAAGACACCCTGCACTAACACTGCCTCATTAACATAGCAGAGAAAACCCAGATTCTCCAACAGGATTATAACCACAGGTACAAAAACCAAAACCAAACCTGTTGCCGTCGAGTCGATTCTGACTCATAGCAACCCTATAGGACAGAGTAGAACTGTCCCATAGGGTTTCCGAGGAGCGGCTGGTGGATTCGAACTGCCGACCTTTTGATTAGCAGCCGAGCTCTTAACCACTGCACCATCAGGGCTCTGCACCCACGGGTATAGGTGTTAGGGTTTACAACACGTATTTTGGGGGACACAATTCAATTCATAACACCAGGTAAGATTTTGAAGCAATGGGTGCTTTGAAGGGTAGCCCCTTGGAAACAAAGACTTTTGGGCTGTGTGAGTGAGTTCCGACCCACTTTCCCACTTCCAGGTGTGTGGTGACATCCATGGACAATTCTATGACCTCAAGGAGCTTTTCAGAGTGAGTATGAGGGAAACACTGGGCGAGGTGACCGGGGGCGGGGGAGGTGGTCACTAGAAGACAGCTCTAATTAAGAGTAGAGCCTTTAATTTGGTGAGTGGAGAGTGGAATGGGGTCAGGAGATGTCTAGTTAGATGAGGCCCTTTGTGAAAGAAGGGCCTCAACATGACAGGAAAATGGATTTAGAACCAAGTGGAACCACTTCTCTCCCCAGGTGGGTGGCGACGTCCCTGAGACCAACTACCTCTTCATGGGGGACTTTGTGGACCGTGGTTTCTACAGTGTTGAAACGTTCCTCCTGCTGTTGGCACTTAAGGTGGGAGCCCCTGGTTTCTGGACCCCAAGTCTGGGCCACCTGGCTGTGACTGGCCTTCATGCTCTCCGCCCTCATCTCCCATTACAACCAGCCGACACTAAGCTGTGCTGTCCAGAACACTGCAGTGCGTCTGGCACGAGAACAGACAGATGGACGGAATCTGCTTGGATGGGGGGTGGTCAAAGAAGGCTTCCTTGACTTAGGGGCATCTGATTGGGCTCTTCGAGGATGAGATGAACAGGGTGGCATTCTAGGGGAAGGAATAGAGGTCCAGATTGTTGAAAGTGGCAAGTCAGTGAGTATGGCTAGATATGGTATCCATTGGTGGGAGGAGAGGTCATAAGGGGTCAAGGGACAGAGTGCCTTGAATGTCTGGCTAAGGGCTTGGGTCTGTATCTGGTAGATGGAAGAGGAGCTGTTAGGTTGTAGGTTGATGGGGCGGGGTCAGGTTTGCATCCTCTGAAGAAGGGGCTGGGGGCCTGTGAGGTGGATGCAACCTGATTCAGGCAGTAGGTGATAACATGTCTGGCCGGGACAGCAGTGATGGGGAAGGAGTGGCACTGGCGGGCGTGAGGTGATTCAGGAGAGGGACAGTGGGGTTATGAGATAGGCACGGAGCCTAGACTCAGCCCTGGCTTGGTGGCTACCCCCAGGTTCGCTATCCTGACCGCATCACCCTGATTCGGGGCAACCATGAGAGCCGCCAGATCACCCAGGTCTATGGCTTCTATGACGAGTGCCTGCGCAAGTATGGCTCGGTGACTGTGTGGCGCTACTGCACTGAGATCTTTGACTACCTCAGCCTGTCGGCCATCATCGATGGCAAGGTGGACTCACCACAGAGCCCTGTGGGGGTGGGGTGATGGCAGAAGCCCTGAGGCTCAGTCTTCCCTTCCTCCCTTCTTGCTCTCCCTTGTAGATCTTCTGCGTGCACGGGGGTCTTTCCCCCTCCATCCAGACCCTGGACCAGATCCGGACAATTGACCGGAAGCAAGAGGTGCCTCATGATGGGCCCATGTGTGACCTGCTCTGGTCCGATCCTGAAGGTGAGGGCAGGTGGAAGAGACAGAGGTCTCTACTCTTACTTTGGCAAGAGACTGAGGGGGCCCTTGAAGGGACAGTCAGGCCAGGTGAGTCTGAGGCAGAGTAGGGCCGGGTTGGCCTTTGTGCTTGCCCTGCTGGCTGGGTGGAACCCTCCGGTGAGGAGCAGGTAGAGCACAGGTAGCTGGGTGCCTTGAGCTCAGGGAGTGGGTTGGGGCATGTATATCGTGGTTCAGAAGGTTGTTTAAGACAAAACCGTTGGCTCCCTGAATTTGAAGGGGCCTCAGAACCTGTCAGCAGCTTCTGCAGAGGTTAGACACCCAGAATGATAGCCTCTGCGGATCTCTCATTCTGTGGGCTTCCCCAACTAGTATGGAGCAGAGCCAGGGAATAAAGCCAGGTCTCCCACCATTCCCAGCCTGCCCTGTTAGGGCACAGGATGACCTGCCTCCTGGTTTGCCCTGACAGTCCTTGTTGGTGCCGGCGTTGTTCTAACGAGTGCCTCCTTTCCTTCTCGTGTGCTTGTTTGCCCAGTGAATCATATGGTTGCCCTGATTATGTGGTGGTCCCGACTGTTGGGGAATTCGCCTTTGGAGTTTATCTGCTCTGAAATTTGCTGTTCTGTCCTATAAGATCCCTTAGAACACATCCAGGTCCCATGCCCTTGCCCCACAGGCCTCTGGTTAATTAGGAGAGGTGGACAGGATACTCAACTACAAGGGGCAGTGGGCAACCAGCCTTGAGATACCCTCACCCCCATCCCTACTTTCATTTGCCTCAGACACAACAGGCTGGGGTGTAAGCCCCCGTGGGGCTGGCTATCTATTTGGCAGCGACGTGGTGGCCCAGTTCAATGCAGCCAACGACATTGACATGATCTGCCGTGCCCACCAGCTAGTGATGGAAGGTTACAAGTGGCACTTCAATGAGACTGTGCTGACTGTGTGGTCAGCACCCAACTACTGCTACCGGTGAGCTGGCTGGGCCCGGAGGCTGGTGGGGGTGGGGGATCTAGGCTGACCCACTCCTTAAACACTGCTTACCTCCCACTTCCAGTTGTGGGAATGTGGCCGCCATCTTGGAGCTGGATGAACATCTCCAGAAAGATTTCATCATTTTTGAGGCTGCTCCCCAGGAGACTCGGGGCATCCCCTCCAAGAAGCCCGTGGCTGACTACTTCCTGTGACTCCTTTGGCCCCCTGCCCCCCTCCAGTCCCTCTGGCCCTCGGACCACTGTGACTCTGCCCTCTCCCCCAGACAGGCTGGCCATGGGGAGGGTGTCCCCAGCTCTGCCCTCCCCCCACCAAGAGGGCACTGTGAGGGTGAGGACTTTCTCTGGAGAGGTCGGAGCCTCAGCTCCATGCTCCTCCTCTCCTTTTCCCCACTTTAACCATGAAGTTTCCAATAATTGTTTGTTTTCTTTTTTTCTTCTGTTTTTTTTTTTTTGTTTTGTTTTGTTTTTAGATAAAAATTTTGAGAAAAAAAACAAAAAAATTCTAATAAAAGAAGAAAAAATGGTTTTCGGGTCTGTGTCAGACTTGATTGAGGGTGAGCTGGGATGGACATAGGGCCCTGACTGCCCCAAAGTCCACATCCTCCAGGAAGGCCAGGCTCAGGTTGGTCAGCTTGTCCAGAGCCTCCAGGTCCCCATCCACCAACAAGGATGCTCACCAAAGCCTTCCTGAGTGCTCAGTGCAGGGCAGAGTTTCCATAGGCAGAGCCTTAATTCTCAAAACAACTAGTGTTAGGAGATTTGTATTCCCCCATTTTCCTGAACCGTAAACTGAGGCTCAGTGACGGCGGATTTATGTGCACAACAAGCTTAAGCAGCTAGAAAGTACAGGTCTAGATTGGGGCCTGGGTCTCCCCACAAAGCCTTTGCTCACCCAGCCCTGCGTAGTGCTGAACACCATTAGCCCAACATTTCCAGAGCACTCGTGTCTTTCAAGTTTTATTAACAAAAATACTCTGGTCCTGAGAACAAATTGGTGTGGCTCGCACTGGGGCGAGGGGGCAGAACATGCCCGAGCCCAAGGGTGAGGCCCAGGAGGTGGGGGTGCTGGCCTGTGGCCCCATTTGGCCAGGCAGAGCCTCTCTCCATTCACACCAAGGTGAGAGCTGGTAAGGGGAAGCTGGCCCCAGCTGGGCTCCCAGCATCCCTGCTCAGGCTTTGAAGCCAGAGGTGGGTGGGAGTGAAATCAAAGTGTGAAGGGGGGGCAGGCCCAAGGCAGCCATTTGGTGTGGGGGATGGGGCCAGTGGAAGCGAGGGGGCTACAGGGCTGGGGGAAGGGGAAGTGGAGGTTTGTGATGGAAGACAAGAGGGGCCAGCAATGGCTCAGTACATTGGTTTGGAGCCCACATCCAGGTAACCCCCAGGTCCCGGGTAGGATAGGGGGAAATGGCCCCCTTGAAGGAAGTGTGGAGCAAAGGGTGCTGTGGGTGGAGCTACTGGGTACCCTGAGCCCCCTGGCCCAGGCTGCAGCTCTAGGAATGCAGCTGAGTAGGGGGCTGGCCGTCCAGAGTCTGGAGCCTCAGGGAAATTGGGGGTCCTGAAGTGGAAAGAGGTATCAGAACAGTGAAGAACCCCTGGCCTGGCCCAGCCCTGTGCCCTTGTCCCACTCACCTGGTTGGAAGGTGACCAGAGGCCCCATGGAAAGCTGCAGGGTGCAGAAGGTAGGCCTCGGCACTAGGGCCGCCACATGGAGGAGCTGGGGCCGAGGCAGCTTCCCGGGGTGCTGGGGCCTGCTCCAGGTCTGACTCACGGACATCCCCACCCAGTGTGGAGTCGCAGGGACCACCAGGTGTATCTGGAGACAGAAGGGACAGGTTGGGCAGTGGAGGGTCAGCACTGCAGGCCAGGCCCCAGCACCATTGGAACTACACTCACCTCCACTCCCATAGGACTTTGTAGCTACTGGCTCTGGGCCCCGAAGTTTCCTCTTCACACGGGCGTCTCGCTCCCTAGGGGATGATGATGATGATGATGATGATGATGATGATGATGATGATGATGATGACGACAATGGTAATAATAATAGCACTTACCAGGTGCCAGGCATTTTACCCTCCCAGGAACCCTATCAGGTAGGTGCCGTTATACCCATTTTACAGATGAAGAAACTGAAAACCAGAGAATTAAATGACTAGAAAGTGGCAGAAAAGCCGTTGCTGTGGAGCTGATTCTGACTCATAGCGACCCTATAGGACAGAATAGAACTACCCATAGGATTTTCAAGGAGTGGCTGGTGGATTTTAACTACTGAGCCACCAGGGCAGAGCTGGGATTTATTCCCTGGCTTAAAACTTTTCATCTCTGTTCCCATGGAGTTGCATTTAGGATCAATTGAGACTCCTTCCCAAGCTACAAGGCCTTGCCTGGTCTGACCCCGGCTCATCCCACCTTACTCGCTCTGCTCCATTTACACTTGCTGTGTTTCAGCCCCTCTTACTTGGCATCCAACTCAGGGCCTCTCTCTGGAATCTTCTGTCTCTTCACTACCTGCTTAACTCATCCTTCTCACCTCAGTTCAAGGAAGTCCTCCCTGATCTCTGTGGCACCACACACTCTCCCTGATACCCTCTGTCACAGTTAAAATTTTACATTTATTAGGATGATCCTTTGAAGAATGTCTTTCTCTCCTGACAGACTGACTACACGCTTCTTGAGACTAGGAGCCAGCTGAGGGGGCTGTACTTAGGCTAGAAGCCAAGTCCTTTCTAAGATCATTACCGTCCAACAAGCTGGCTCCCCATCACAGCTTTGACCTCATCTCTGACTTGCCCTCTCCACTCCAGCCACACTACAGGCAAGGCTCCCACCTCAGGGCCTTTGCACGTGCTGTTTCCACTTCTTGGCATGCTTTTCCCCAAACAGCCACTGGCTCCCTCCCTTGCTTCCTTCAGGTCTTTTCTCACATGTCCTCTTCTCTGTGAGGTCTTTCCATGCTTTTTATCTAATACCTCACTCCAGTCCTTTTTATCTTCCTTGCCTGCTTTCTTTTCTCTTCAGAACTTATCCCTAATATGTAATATTTATTTCTCTTGTTTACTGTCTGGTCTGCCCACTGGAATATCAGTTCCATGAGGGCAAGGGCCTTGGTTTGTTTTATTTATCCATGTGTTTCCAGTGCATAGAATTGTGCCTGGCACAGAACAGATGCTAAGTAAGTATTTGCTGTTTTTACTTACCATTGTGCTCCTGGCATCCAGCACAGTGCCTGGCACATAGTGGATGATTAGTAAACATTTGCTGAATGAATGAGTGAACACTGCCTACCTCTTACAGTTTCTGCCATTCTCCCGGAAACCCTTGGCAAAGGGGTTGGCTGCAATCTTCAGTTGTGTGATCTGGGGATACACAGCCAGGGTCAAAGCTCCTGAGAGGGTAGGGCACCACCACCCTCTAAAGCAAGGCCACTCACCCGTGGGTTCTGGTAGGCTGTCACGGAGATGAACGTGGTCTCTGGGAAGCGGAAGGAGGCGACGCCCCCCCAGTGTTGGCTGCAAAGCTGGGCAGCCCGCACCAGGTGTACGCGGGGCTGGTACTTGTGCATGGAGTGCAAGATCAGCTGAGAGGGAAGAAAGGGAGTGACTCCCTGCCCCCGACCCCAGCCTTAGCTCCCCATCCAGCACCACCCCCAGTCCCTATCTTGGGGTCCCAGCCTGGGCCTCACGTGGCCGTGGGGGTCCAGCGTGCTATTGGTGAGCTTGACGCGATGAAAAGACACAGGCTGCCTCATCCAGTGGGCACCGGTGGCAGGAGAGTCGGGGTGAATGTAGATGCGGTCAGGCAGGCGGGGTTCTGCCTTGCCACTGGGCTCCCAGCGCCGGCCCTGCCAGCGGTAGCGGGCCCCATCCACTGGGACCACATCCAGAAGAAACAGGTAGCGGGCCTCAGGGTCCAGGCCCGTGACCGACACTCGGCAAGCAGGGAACATGCGCCTGGACAGGGGAGGGGATGAGACAGGCCTGGAGCTACCCACTGGCCAGGGTGGGCACAGCACTAGCAGAGAGGGCAGAGGGACAGGCTCACCCAGTTCTGTCAGAGAAGCATCGAGGGAGGTGGAATTAGAACTCAGAGGGCAGAATCTTAGAGCTGGAATGTTGTCTGGCGCCATTTTACAGATGGGGAAATGACACAGATTAGGTGATCTGACCAGGGTGACACAGCAGGTTAGGAGCAGAGCCAGACCCCTGACTGCTAGCCCCTCAAACACCAATTGCAGAGGTATGGTGACAAACTTTTCTCCCTGAAATCTTTCCAGGAGCCTCCCAGTCTCCTCACCTGACCTCCAGCCCCAGAATCTGCAGTAATCAGACAAATTCTCTTTAAAAAAATATACCCTGCCTTCAGCAGGGCAGAGAGCTCACCATGCCAGTGCCTAAATTCCTGGCCTAGAAAGAGAGCCCTATACAAGCCACACACTGACCACATCACTGTCTCTAAGGTAACCCCAGACCTTGTCATATATGACTCCTACCCAAGTCACACACTGACCCCTGACCCTGGCCAGATTTCCCTACTGCTGGTCTCTGGCTGGCCCTTGACCCCATAGTCTGACCCCTGACTCCAGCCACAGACTGACCTATAACCCAGCCAGACTTCCTGACCCTGGCCCACCCAGACTGACCTGTGACCTTTGCCACAGATTGTTCCCTAAAGCCAGCCACATACTCCATAGACTGACTCTTGACCCTTGACACAGAGTGAGCCCTGATCCAGTCACAGAGTAATCCTTGATCCCGGCCACAATCAGACTCTGACCTGAGGCAGGGCTCCAACTCCCCAAGATCCCCCAAACCTAGTCCCATCACCAGTGACTCTACCTTTTCCAACAGACCCCCACCAGGAACACACTGGGTCCTCTGACCCTCGCACAGGCCCCCTCACCTCCCGGCTTTGGTGATGATCATCTCTGTTCCCACGGAGTCGAACTCTTTCCACAGTTCCCGGTTCTCCAGGTTCAGGCTGACGCCAGGGAGTGTGTGAAGGGCCTCTGGGGCTGGAGGAGCCGGCTCAGTGCCCAGGACCGGGGGAAGAGGGGGCAGAGGTGGGGGTGCGGCCAGGGTGCGGGGAGCAGCCTCAAGCCCAGAGAGGAAGCAGTCCAGTTTGGGAGTGTCCAGATCTGGAGATGAAGGGAGAATGAGGAACCAGCCAAGGGCCACAGTCTCCCCAGGCGCCTACACAGGAGCCAGTCCCAATGCTCACCCGGGTAGCGGTAGCTCTCGGCAAGAGCAGGCGGAAAGCTGGAGTCTGCCCCAGGCTGGGGGGGCCCAAGGCGGTAGCTGGTCCCCAGGGAGGGGTACAACTCCCGTGGATGGTACATGGAGTAGTCTAGTCTGGCCTCAGGTCACGCTGCCTTGAGTCCCCCCAGTGTAGAGAGATGCCCCCTTTATAGCTCGCTGCTCAGCCCCTTCCAGACCCAAGATCACAGCCCCTCCCCTCTTTGGGGCCCTGGAGTTGGGCTGGAGTGGAGACCCCTAGGGCCTCGAAGGGTCCAAGAGGAGGCCGGATACCTGGGTAACCTCCCCTCCTCCCCCCTCCCCTTGGCGCCTTCATTAGCCCCGACCCCCTGCTCCCTCATTACATAATTAACTCCTCGGCCTGATTGATCCCCGGGGCTCGGACAGGGGACGCAGTTTGGCGCTTCCGGCCAGCTGGTCCCCGTTCCCACGGGGGGAGCCCCGGCTAGGAATAAACTACCGAGGGGCGGGGTCTGGACCCTGGGGACGAGCCTAGAGTCCTGGGGCGGGCATTGGTCCCCTAGACTTTTCTGGCAGGTGACACCCCCCCCCCCTTCACCTGGAGAACGGCGCTTGCAAGGAAGGAGCCTAACTGGAAGGAAAGTTCAGGGCCGGGGGGACGAGGACTGAGCTCATTATTACGCAGGGCACTGGGGACCTCGAGGAGTCCGCAGGCGAGGCCCAAACCCTGGGGCTCGCCTCGGTTCCCATTCTGGAAAACCTCTACGCTCAGCCAGGGCTCGAAAGTTTATAGGTGCGCGCAGCTCGACAGTCTCGCTGACGGCAGAAGATCCTGTCCTGTGCTGGGGAAACCTCGGAACTACACTTCCCAGCAGGCCCAGCGCCGAAGCGCGGCACGAAGGAAACACAGACCGCGCTGGGGCCGCTGGAAGTTGTAGTCGGGGCGAGAATGGCGGCGAAACTGGTTACGGGGTTGCTTCCCAGAGAACTGCCCCTAGGCGGCGGCAAAACGCTAAAGCCGAGACGACGGCGATTAGCCCCGGTCGGGGCCCAGGGAGCCACCGGCCGTGAGACCCAACCTGAGTCCCAAAGAGGATGGCTGAAGCCAGGACCCAGAAGAGCAGGCTCCCAGCATGGACGGCTGTGCCTGCCCCACACCTGTAGGGGTTCAGAAAGGAGCAGGTCTGTAGGGCCAGGCATCTGCCTTCTGAGTCCCCCATTCCAGGATTCCACGCGAGCCTGGAACTGTCTCCACTTCATTGTTTTATTATTTACAAACGCTACAGAATGAGGGGTGCTGACACGCGTGGGGTAAGAGGGTCGGGTCGGACGAGAAGTTTACAGGCACTAGGGCCTAGAGAGCAGCACTCAGGCCGTATCTATAGGGCAGCCGGGGTAGAAAGGATTTAAAAACGAGATCCAAGCCAGCCAGATCGCAGGAGGGGCAAGGGTGCAGTCCCCCTTCTGATTCTCCCCCAAGGTCACAGTGCATGCAATAAAATATATGTACAGGAGATAGGTCCTTCCTCTGCAGGGGCTCCGAAGGGCTAGAGCGCCCTTGGCCAGGGAGGGAGGCCAGTGGCGCCCCCCAGCGGCCAGGCCGGGCTGGAGCCACATGTGTCAGGAGCAGGGGTCAGTCAGTCCCAGCCATTGTCCTTAATCATGTGGTTGAGTTCAATGATGTACTTTCCCTCTTTGTACTTCTGGCTGCTCTCGAAGGCCTGTTCCTGAAAGGAGAAGAGGGGCCAGTCATCTCTGAAGCAACAGACTTACCAAGGGACAGGGGTTGGAAGAAGGGACATGAATGGCCTCATTTTACATATGAGGAAACTGTTGCCCAGAGAAGCCAAGCCACTGCTTACGGTCACACACCTGGTAGATGACAGGGCCAAGTTTTCACCATGGAGTAGAACTCACTGGATCATGGCATGTTTTAGTACTAATGTTGGCTCCAACGGAGAGGATATGAAGCGTCTAAAAGATTTCATATGCCAGGAGTTGCAAACTGGTGACCCATGGGCCCATTTCAACCTATACATGTGTTTTGTTTGGAGAGCAGAGTTCAATAATTTAAAATACTAAAATATAAGCAAGCCATGCTTACTCCAGTTTGCCATACACTTCCCCTTCCCTAGATCTATCTTACCACTTTTGCAAATCTACAGTTTCTGCTTGGCCTTGCAGGCACTTGAGTTTCTGTGCTCTGGAGTAAGCCACCTCTTTATTTAACAGAGGCCCAGAGAAGCCAAGCATCTGCCCAGGTACATACAGCAAATCTGTGGCAGGGCCAAAGGTGAACTCAAGTCAGGGCTGTATGTCTGTCTCTGCCTGGGGGATACACCTCACAGAGGCACTGGAGCTCTAAGCCATGCCTGAGTAATCCTGGCCCCTGCAGTTTCTCCAGACCGTCTTCCTCTGCTGCATCTAATCAGATCCCCACAACAATCTTGGGTGCCAGGCAGTGGCTTTATCCTCAACTACTAGATAAGGAAATGAGACTCAGGGTAGTGAAATGAGACCCTGGACAGCAGCAGTGGCAATGAGGACAGTGGAAAAGGAGACCCATGGACCCAAGCTCCATGTTGCTGTGGGGTCTTGGACAACCTCTCTGACACTCTGAATAACAGTATGATCTGGTGATCACAGGTTTGGAAAAAAAACAAACAAATTAGGATTCTGGTCCCTTCTGGGCTACTTACCAGTTGTATGACTATAGGCAAGATACCTAGCACCTCTGGGCCTCCGTTTCTTCTTCTGTAAAATGGAGGTAATAATAGACTCTACCTGAAGGATTGTCGTAATGATTGAATGAGATAACATATGCCAAGCACATGGCTCATAAGCATTTAATAAACAGTAACTCTGATTATATCCTCATTTCTAAAATGAGGATGCTAGGGCCTGTGACGGAAGGGATGAGTTAAGAGAAAATTTCTAAAAGCCCTTGCAGGATATGAGAGAACACAACATGGTCAGGGGATCAAAAGGCAGACTTGTGTGAGCTAGGCCTGTACACTTTGAAAGATCACCAATGACTGATGTGAGGAGGAGGTGATGTGAGGTCAGGTCAGAGGCTAGCCTGGGGTCAGAGGTCGCTGACTCACATATTTCCAGCCCAAAGTGGTCTTGCAGTTCTCGCAGTGGATGTCAGCAACAGCATGGAGGCCTGTCAGCAGCACACGCTCCTCGGCTGGCCCGCAGCCCACATTCACCCTGTTGGGGACATGGGGCAGTCCCAGGACGGTCCCATCATCACAAGCCCCCATCCACTGAAAGGTGATCATAGCTTCCTGCCTCAATCAGGGAACTGGGAGCCTCAGCATCATGCCAGGGGTCACAGATCACAGCAGAGGTCAGGGAAAGAGATGAGGGAGAATGAATACTCACACGGAGTTGAAGAGGTAGGCACGCCCCTGACTGCCCTGGAAGGACTAAAGGGTGGGAAGAGGAGAAGAGGGCGTCAGAGCTACTGGTGGGGAGCTGCCAGGTAGCCCCTCCAGTCTCCCACTGCAGCCCCACCTGTGGCCTGGTTACCTTGGAGATGAGGTCGTCGTGGTTGGCCAGGTGAGCACGGCAATGGGCACAGCTATACCTCCGGTGACAATCATCTAAGTAGGCCTGAAACGTCTTGGGTTTTGAAATCCGCACCATGGCGGGGGCCGGGGGCAGTGGCCCCACGCGGGGAGCAGCCCACGGGGAGCAGAGGGAGCTCAGTGCCTGCCAGGGAGGGAGGGAATGGGCTGTCAGTCCCCGGGCCACACACATGTGGGCACGCCCAGGGCCATGGGGACTCTCTCTGTCACACTTGGCTGCTGTCTCCTCTCCCCAGAGCCAGCAGCCTCCCCCAGGGCCAGAGTCATCTCAGTTTTGACTCACTGAGGAGGCCTCAGGTTGCATCAACGGGGAAACTGAGGCTAGGAGGAGCCCAAGGTGAGTCACCCACCTCTGTCCAGCCTCACCACTTCTGGCCTGGCAGTTGAAGTTGGAGGAAGGGACTTTAGAGTGCATGGGCTGTCAGGTCCCAGTTTAGAGGGAGCATGGGAGGTGACGAATTACGTGGTCCTTGGGACCTCATTTGGACTGTGGCAGGGGCTTCACTAAAGACACAGGCAGTTCACCTGGGGAGAGGGTGCCTCACCTAGAAGTGGCAGGAGGCCTCACTGAAGGTGGAGGGTCATCTAGAAAAAGAGGTGCTCTTACCTGGGGGCGCTGAGGCCTTACGTATGCCGAGGGGATCTTACCTGCATCGCGGAGCCTTACCTGAGACCCCGGGGCTCACCTGGGGCGCGGGGGTGGGGGGGTAGGGAGCGGGCGCCGGGAGAAGGGGCAGTCCTCGTTGGCTGGGCGGTGGCGCGGGGCCTCACCTCGCTTGGGCGCGCGGGGGCCCGGTCCGCCGGTGGCCTGCCCTAGGAGTGGGGGGCGCTCCTAGCGGGCGCCGTCCCCCCGGCCCGGGTTCGCAGCCGCCGCGACTTGTTTACACCGAGACCAGCTGCTGCCGCCGCCGCTGCGGCGGGAGGGGGAGGGGGCCGGCTTCTTGTCCCGGCGGCCGCCGTGGCCAATCGGCTTGCAGCATGCAAATGAGGGGGCGCGTCATCCGGCGGCCAGCGCAGGCCTGAGCTGCCCTTCCCCCTGCTCCGGTCTCCGGCCGGCCCGGAAATGCGACTGCGGATGGCAGACAAGCCCTTGGGCCCTCAGCGCCGCAGGCCTGGGCGCCCCTTTGGGCCCTGGGGGTCCTTGAAGGGGCAAGGATCAGGAGGGAGATGGTAGCTGGACTCATGCACCCGGAAAATAATAGCCGTAACTACCTGCGTTTCCCACCGTCTGCACCTCACTCTTTTAATCCCTGTAGCATATCCTATGAAGCAGTTTCTACTATGGTGCCCATTTAACCGAGAAACTGAGGCCCAGAGATGTTTGGCAAGTCTCCCAGGATTATGATTCGGATTCTCACTTTGGTCTGATTCCATAGTTTTTGCCATACTACCAGGTACAGGATCAGTTCACTTACAATGGAAGAGCTTAAAGGTGCCTATCTGGGAGTCAGATCCTTGGTGCAGGCCAATTTCTATTGTCCAGCATCACCTCCTCCAGGCAGTCTCCTCTGATGCCCCTACCCCTGGGTTAGATGCTATCTCTGAATTCAGTTGAAGATGTCTGTTTTAAGCATGTCTGCCATGTTAGACTTGCCTTTTCACTGCTAGGGCCCCAGTACCCAGCCTGGCCTAGAGACAGCTGACGTTTGTGAAATACGCGAATGGATAAATGACTAAGGTACCAGGGCTGGGGAGAGCCAAGAACTTCAGGGAGCCTGAGCACCTGGGAAGACAGGCTTTCTGGAGTGGAAGGTTGGAACTGCTAAGCAGTAGATGGGTGCTGTGAACTCTGCTGTCCCATTCATCCCCATCCTCTGCAGCCCAGCGAGGAGGCCCACAGAGGCAGGACACAGGAGAGTCAAGTCCCTTGCTGTGTGCCTGGAGCTCTTAATGGCCTCAGGAGAATGGAACCATCATCTGTGGCTCTCAGTGAAGGGGCTGGGGGCCAGGACACCTGGGTTGGCCGTGCAAGGGACATTTCCTGAGGAGAGCAGAGGCCAGACTGGCACTGGGTGTGGCATTACACTGGATCTGGAATGTAGTGGAACCAGTGGGTCAAGCTGGTTCGAGCCGCAGGCTCTGGCCCCAGGGCTTCTTTGCCCTAAGCTGCCATCTTTAGTCTTCCAGGATCCCCTCCTCAAGCACAAACACATGACTAAAAAGAAAATATTTATTGGGAAAGAGAAACAGAGCAGAGAGTGAGGGCCTTGGAGCTTAGGAAGCCCGAGCAGCTGTTCCGTGGTTGTCCAGATAGCGCCTCAGGGCTGTGGGGTAATCAGTTATGACGCCAGTGGCCCCCAGGCTGAAGGCCATGTCAAAATCTGACTCTTCATTAAGGCACCAAAATATCACCTGAGTAGGAAGGAAAGCGCTTGTAGTTTCCAAACAACTTTACCTGGAACAGGGCTTTATCTCCTCCCCTGTGGGGCCCTCCCAGTAGTGGAATGCTGGAGTTGATTGTTAAGTTTTCAGGAATTTTGTAAACTGGTTATTAAACACAGCTACTATTAAAAATTAAATTATATGAACTTATAATTAGATAAATTATATTAAAACCAAAAGTAATAAATACTCCAAACACATCACTTCCCTAAATATTTTGATGTTGAATCTGGATGGTGCAAATGCTATATATAATGGAGTGCTAGCACACATCTCTTGCCAACTCTGCATTCAGTGAATTCCTAGCTTGAAATTGACCAAAGGTGTGAGTATTTACACCAGGGAAATTGACTCAAATCAGCGTCCACCCCCCCACCCCCCTTTTTTTAAAATCTGAGAGAGCTGGCTTTTGAACATCTACCAGCACGCCACTACTTCCCAGTGGGCAACAAGGTAGGTGGATATGGTATTTTTAACCCCCGCAAGTCACCGGGCCTCCTGCTTTCTTAATTTGACAAATGAGGGTGATCCGTCAATCTCACAGAATTGTGGTGAAGGTCCCTGAAGTGAGAGGGCTCATCTGAAAGAGCTTTGTCATTCCCATCCCTCCCTCTCCCTCACATCCAATCAGCAGCCCAGTGCTGGCCACCTCCTCTGTGAGTTAACTCTTCCATCCATCCCCACTGCTGCCACCCAGGTCCAAGTCCTATTAGTGGCAGCAGCAGCCTCCTAAGGGGCTCTCTGATTCCATATTGGCCCCCACAATCTCCTCCCACATGGTGGCCAGAGTAACCCTCCCCTCAACAAACCTAAGTTGGATCAGTTCTCTTCTCTCTTTTTTAAAACCATCAAAAGCTTCCTTTCCCTTTGGGCTGAAGTCCACGCTCCTTACTGAGGCTCACAGGGCCTGCCTGCCTCAGCCTCTGCTGCCTTCTCTAGCTCCGCTGTGCCACTTCCTCCGGCCTGCAGCCCTATGGAACCCCTCAGGTTCCTCTGACCACCATGTTCTCCAGCTGCTCCAGCCCTTCACACATGCTAAGCCTCCTGCCTGAAATGTTCTTCCTTTCCTCCTCCATGAGCTAGCTTCCTTTCACCCTTCATGTGGTTGCTCACACCTCACTTCTTCAGGAAGGCCTGCCCTGACCCCAGAGACCACGACACTGTTTCCTTTCTGTCCACTCACTGCCTTTGTGATGGCCTGCTTTATTTCTTTCCTCTACCTTGATTGTAAGGTCCCTGCTCTATCCCTAGTACCAGAGTGCCTAGAACATAGTACATGATCAATGGAGGTTTGCTAATTGAATAACTTGGTCAAAGAAGGTGCTCAGGTGAGAGAGAAGGGGTTGGCTGGGCCTGGTTTCCCCTTTTTCTGGCCTTTCTCCAGCCCCCTCATCAGGGATCAGGACAGTAGGTTCCATATATCATCACCTTAACATTTATCAAGCCCTTGTAAGTACCAGTTACATATCCAAAAGAGCTAAATACTCCCATTATCCCAGTCGTACAGATGAAGAAACTGAGACTCAGAAGGTAAAGTGACCTGCCCAAGTGATCCAGTTAGTTAGAGGCAGAGCTATGACTGGAACTCAGCTGCCAGGCCCATGCCCTGAATCACCTACTTGCTGAGGGGGAGTGATGATCAGGTCCTACCTGTATCCCTCGCTCCTCCAAGTGTCGGATCAGACTTTTCCTCATGATGACCCTGGGGGGAAGGAGGTGGCAAGGGTGATGATGAGAGGGATCAAAGGAGAAGGGCAGTAGTGGGTCTCTATTGGGAATACTCAACCCAACCTTCTCGCCCACCTCACCATTTTGAAACCACAGCCGCCAACTGGTTCAGCCCAGGGCAGGAAAATGGGAAGTAGGTCCTGTGGAGAGAAGGCTGGAGGTCAGCCACATGGGATGGGGGTGGGGTGGTAGTGACCCCTGACCAGTGTGACCCTGCACCCTCCAGAAGAGCCCTTGCAGCTGCCCAAATGAACAATTCACCCATTTTTCAGTGAGATCCTACTCCAATATCCTTGAATCCACACTTTGATGTCAGGGGTGTGCCCCTCCCCTCAACATTTTGAGGGAACAGTCTCAAAGAGCTAAAGTAACTTGCTTGAGGTCACACAGTAAGTGAGTGGTAGGGCCAGGACCAGACCCAGTTTGATTCCGAAGCTGGAGACCCAGTCTGGAGGTCCTCCTGGTTGGGTCTGATCAATTTATTGAGACCAGACAGAGCTTAATGAGTCAGCTGCTTGCCCCTAATTGCTCCACTCCAGGGGGGACTTCAGATGCCCTTTACAATGTCCAGGGCAGATTTTGGAGCCAGACCCAAGACAAACCTGCACCTCCAGTTGTGTAACCTGGGGCAAGTCACAGAGCCTCTCTGAGCCTCAAATTCTCCATGAGTACCATGGGGGTCATGCTTCCTATACCTCCTAGGGGTGCTTAAAGCTCAATTAAGCTAAAGGATATACAAATAATTTGCAAATACTGTAGAAAAAGTTAAGAAAAAGTTTTGTGCTATAATGATCTCTCTGTAGCAAAGGATTGTGGGGGCTGGCTGAGGAGCTTCCCTCAGGACAACAGAGGGAGGAGAAAACCACTGGGGACCACTTCTCAGGAAGCAAAGGGCAGAGGCTGGACTTGAGAGCCAGGGAAGTATCCAAATCCCTGATACCTTACTCAGCTCCTTACTTGGCTGTTACTTTGTTAAACCTTGTTCACTAGCAGGAAATGGCTTGCCTTTTCCTTTTGAGCATCTGAGAGTGTTGCTGTAATTAGTTACTGTCTCCCCAGCCAGAATGTAATAAGCTCACCAAGGGCCTCCCCACCCCACGTCGGTCTTATTTACTAACGTAACTGCACCTGGCATAGAGTAGGATGAATGACAACAGAGTACATATCTATTGGATGAATAATAAGCGATCTCTTTCCCCTAAAACTCTACATCAATACACATTTGCATATAATTTCAGGGGGTTCATGGCTCCCTTTGTATCTGTGAATGCTGGGTAAGAGCCGCTGTTTTAAAAAGACCTTGGTGTTAAGTTTGGGGGAAGGCAGGGAGCTGGGGAGACTGAGTCTCCTCCTCCACAGCCAGGCTGAGAGGACCCTGAGCAATGGGGCTAGACGAGACGGATCTGAGAGGGTCCTGTCCCCTGCCCCCAACCACTGGTACCTGTTAATGATGGTGGGCAGGAAGGAGAAGAGGAACTTCTCAGGGATTGGGACGAAGGGCAGCAGTCCCAGGTAATAGAGCAGCAGCATCCAGAATCCTCGGCTTAGTGTGAAGGAGAAGGGCATCTCAGGGTTCTGGAGAGACAAAAGGAGAAGGAAAGCGGTCAGTCTGCTCCTGGGAAAGAAGAGTGGAGGCTCGGGCTGCAGGGGGAACAGCTTTGGACGTTCAGGGGCTCCCTAGTACCTCTGGGATCAAAGCCACATCTTGGCCCAGCGTTCGAGGCCTAAGTGCAGCCTCCTTGTTCCCACTGTCACACCTCTGTTCACAAACTTTCCCCCACACCTCACATCTCCATATCCTCCCCTTTGAG